TTTATTTAGTTTTGAGAGAGCGTGAATGGGGTGGGGGGCGGGGGTGGGGGACAGACGATTGGAAGAGGGCTCACTTGCTGTCAGCAGGGGTTGATGAGGGGCTTGAACTTACAAACTGTGAGATCATGACCCGAGTTGAAGTCAGCCGCCAGCCAACTGAGCCACCCAGGCGCCCCAATTCAGAGCTAAATTTAATGCTCAAATGCCAGACGTTCCGATAATTCACATAGGCTTGTACTTCCCATCTTTGTGAATGTCTGTTTTATATTCTATTTTAAAAGGTATTATTACGCCTTTTACTGAAAGCTGCCTCAAAGCCTTTCTTAGGTGTAAATAACCACTAAGAAAGGAAAGAATTCTCACTTTCTTGGGATAGTCTTACTGGGGCAGAGGAAGGCCCCTCTTGGGGAATGAGAGAGTAACCCCAGGGAACCTTGTTTGCACTTAATGGTTTCTAGGGCTGATTAGCAAGACAGTAGATTATTTGAAGCCTGGAATCTTCCCTCTGGTTGTCCACCTTTGCATGCCTTTCAGACTATGGGTGTGATGTGTGTGTGTGAAGTAATTCCTGTCCATGTAACTTTCACTGAACTACTTTCTCTGGGAAAAGAAAAGCAGGCACATAACAAAAACAAGTCCTAAAGATTACCTCAGGATCACTAACAGGGCTGGGTGATCTACACCCTTGCTACTCAAAGCGTGGTTCATGGACCAGCAGGACCAGCATCCCCTCACATTTGCCCCCTGAACCCTAAGGGTTAGAAGAATGCATTCTGGAGACGCACAGAGCTCAAATCCCAGATGCTTCACTCACGAGCTCAGAGGCTTTGATCAACTCGACCTGTCCCTCTACTCCCTGGTCTGTAAAATGGGAATACTAACAGCTCCCATCTCATAAGTATGGTGAGGATTAAATTAATTGATGAATGAATTGATTCATTAAAACAGTGCCTGGGCAGACTATGTGCTTCACAGATGTTAATCGCTGTGACATCATTCCCTCCCCACGTTCTCAATACTCACCATCACCACAGCAATCCCAATGCCCACTGCGCCGATGATGTGGAATTTGTTGTGAAAGACTTCTTTGATGGCCTCAGGGCAGGGCTTAGGGGGGCAAACCAAGACTCGGGTCACACACAATCCCTGCTCCAGGCACACCTCCCCCCTCCCTCAGCACCTGTGTCACAACAGGACATTGGGGATCCGGGAGAAAGGGCCGAGGACAGGAGTGCTCAGGTGTCCTGACTGGCGGATGGAAAGGAGAACCAAGAGATATGGAGGTGGGTCCTTAAAGTCTGGGTAAGAAATAAGGGAAGGAAGAAGGGGAAGCACCTGCTTTGGGGCCTATTTCTTATCAGGCCATCAGGCTACTTCCTATTATTCTGAAGTGTGGACATGAGCTCTAGCTTACAGTCATGAGCTGTTTGTACGTCTAAGAAGCGGGAGTGCAGAATTCAGAGCACAGCTGGGGGAGGCGGGATAGAAGCCAGCAGCTGGCAGATGCAGGTGCCACTAGAACACTTTGCTGTTTCCCTGGTCTGGCCTTTGTTTTGCTGCCCTGGAGGAAACAGAGGCCCCAGGGAGGGGAAGAAAGACATGGCTGCCACGGGGCTCTTCCGCAGGTGGAAGGCGTAGTTCTGAAGCACTTAGATGCCTGTCTTCCCAGAATAAGAGGGCAAGGTTTCACTTCAACCCTTGTGGGATTTGTCCAGAGCAGCGGGGCCAGGGCGCAACAGTTTACCTTCATTGGGTTTTTAAGTTTACCTTCACTGTGATGGATGACAGTATATCCTTTTGGGGGCAGATGTCGGAGATAAACTGTTCTACTCCACCAGCCAAACCACAGCAGTCCAGCTGCAGGGGGAAGCGCAGGGATGGGGCGAGAGAAACAAACAAAAAAGGATGATTGGAATGGAGATGCACAGGCTGGTGCAACCAGTACCCCGTGTGCACGTGCGTTCTGACGGAAGGTCAGCGAGGGTCGCGGTGTTGGCGCAGGTGACATACCGCATAGTGGATGGCTTTCAGGGTGTCCCGCTGGGGCTCATCCTTGGATTTCAGCTTGTTGTAGGTGTCCTTGTAAAACTCCTGGACTTCCTGAATCACCTACGACGGGCGGTCGAGAGCGGGGCAGATATGGCTTTTTCAAGAACATATAAACGTCACCTGTTCCATCTTGTTCACGCTCAGCCAACAAATTCTTGTGCTTGGAAAATGTCACTGAGCAGACTGAAGCCACCAGACTGGTCCTGCCTCTCCCAGCACCTCCGGCGCCCTTCTCGTCTCCTCCCACGTCCCTAGGAACCCAATCCGGTTTTCCCTTCTTCTCTTGCACCTTTGGCAGGTCCCTCCTGCCCCAGTTGGCAACTTCTCCTCTACTTGTGTACCAAATGGACTCTCCTCAATCTAAAGAACAATAATAATAATAAAAAAAATTCTACTCCTGACCGGGCTAGTTCTTCAGGCTTGCAGCTTTTCTTTTTCACTTAGAGGCTGTGTGACTTTTGGCAAGTTACTAAACCTCTCTGTACTTCAGTTTCTGCATATGTAGGATGGAGATTATAAGAGTCCGTCCCTCAGTGGTTATTGTGAGGACTTAAATGAGATGCTGCATGATAAGCCCTTAGTGCAGTGTCTGGCACAGAGTACTGGGTACCTCAGTACACCTTAGTTTAACAAACGCCTGTCCCTTGCCCCCCCCCCGCCCCCAATCAATTAATTAACTGACCAACATCCAGAATTTCTCCAGCAGCTGTCGTGATCACCCCTTCCTCTTTCTTCAGTTGTAGCATTTATATCTGGATAATTAAATCTTTTTTTTTTTTTTTTTAAACAGGGTTCCTGCATCCAGTCTCTCGTCTCTTCTCTCTCTTGCTAAACATGCCAAGACTGCCTTTCCTAATACACGGTTCTGATATGGCCCATCCTGGCCCACAACTCCTCCCTCAGTGGCTTCCCATCAGAACCCACATTCAGCTGTCTCTGCCGGAAAGTACTGGGTCTCCCACCAACTTTCCTCCTGAAATCCTTTCTCTCATCCAAGATTTAGGTGAGTGTCCCCTTCTCCATGAAGCCAGAAGAGATTTCCTGTTGGCATGCCGCCTTCTCAAACCCCATGGAATCTTCTGGATATAAATGACTTCTAGGACACTTCTCCTAGTGCATATTTGCATATATGCATTCTCCAAATGCATATTTGGATGGAAAGTGAAGGGACCACAGCTTGTGTATCACTGGACCCACACTGGGTCTGGCCAGCACTTGGCTCATGGTGGCACATATTCATAGACTAGGTGAAGGAGCAGGGGGCTCCAGCCCTCGCAGAGGCTCGTTTTCCTAAGCCATCCTTCCAGAGGAGTCGGGGACAGGGCTGCTGAGGTGCGAGACACATACACACACAGACCTGATGAGTATTTCTTGAATATCTGCTCCGTGCCAGCACCATTCAGGGAACTGGAAGCTGTGGCTGGCACCACACCCACATCGCCTGCCCTGGGGGATCTCACACTCTGCTGGGCATGTGGGAGCGTGGTGAAGTAGGAGCATGTTTGATGGCTGAAAGCTGACCAAAGTGGCCAGCTGAGACACCTGTCACTCTCATCATTCCCACCCCCGAATTCCGAAACCTGTATCACTCCCGAGAGATCTTATGGAAGACACCTACCTCATCTTTGTGGGAATAGCCCCAGATGGCCGCAGCTATTTCAATGGCAAATATCACCAAGAGGAAGCCAAAGAACTAGAAGGCAAAGAAGGGGTAAGATGAGGGGAAATCCCAGCCAGCCAACCACAAAGGGTATTCCGGAGGATAAGGAGGAATAACTCCCTGGGAGTTGGGCATCTGGGGGCGCAAATGAACAGCCTGGAAGGGATGGAAGAAATTTATGGAACTGTGAGCATTGAGCCAAGGGGAGGAGCGAAAGCAGTAGTAGGAAGAGATTCCCATTCAGGAGGAAAGAATGGGGCACAGCTGACCCCAGAATTGATATTCCTAAGGTGTTAATTAAGAGTCAGTGATAAGATACGATCGCTCACTCACAAAACCCACAGGGATTTGAGGAAATAAAGAAAGTGAATGCACTCTGGAATTTGAAGAAAATTGTTAACAAATTTTAAAATAAGAGAAGGCGAAGGTACCTGTGGATTCAGGGAAAAAAAGCAAACGTGGTCCTCGAAAAGGGGGAAAACAAAGTCCTGGCATTTAGTTGCCTAAAGGAAGTGATAAGACAGAGAGGCTCCAGAACAGAAGAGAAGCAAGGCATCACTACAGGGGAGGAGGGCAAGATGGCTACCTGGCTAGGAGGCTGGGGTGGGGCCTGGAATGGAGCAACACTGTGGGGGCTGAGGATAGCTCATGCCTTTAAGGTACCCTCTGGACCCCATCCCACCCCATCTGTTCTATGAGATCTTGGGGGCGGGGCCCTTGGGTCAGAGTGGCTGTGGGGAGCAGAAGGGGTACTCACCAATCCCAGCATGCACTGGGACTCTTGCACGGCCCCACAGCAGCCCAGGAAACCCACCAGCATCATGAGGGCACCAGCTCCAATCAGAATATAAACTCCTGAGGACAGAGAGCAGAGGGCAAGGCATGGGGTCATTGTTGTTGAGACCCAGACATGTGCTGCAATTCTTTTTCCCCCCTCTAAGAATCTGTGCTGCCCCCATCCTTAAAAACAGCCTCCTTGGGGCTCCTGGGTGGCTCAGTCAGTTAAGCACCCGACTTCGGCTCAGGTCATGATCTCGCAGTTCCTGAGTTTGAGCCCCACATAGGGATCTGTGCTGACAGCTCAGAGCCTGCGGCCTGCTTCAGATTCTGTGTCTCCCTCTCTCTCTGCCCCTTCCCCACTCATGTTCTGTCTCTGTCTCTCTCTCAAAAATAAACATTAAAAAATAAAACAACAACAACAAACAGCCTCTTCCACCTCTGCTTTTAAGTCTCCTCCCCACCAATCTCTTTTCTAGGACCCTGCCCCATTAAGCCCTCACCCCTCTCTTACCCTCACCTTCCTGGAAGGTGCTCATTACCTTCTATAACCAGGACAAAGATACCCATGGGAACCCCCAGGTTTGACTCAGGATGTGAACTGATCCAGTTTGTCAGCTGTTTCCAGCAAGATGAGTCCATTCACACTAACTAAAATAGACCCTCCAAACTGGGGCTAACTTCCTGGGACTCTGATGAGCCTTCTGCTGGCCTCTACCTGACAGAAGAGTCTGTCAGAGCAAGTTTTCCAAAGGAAAGGGGTTGTGTACACTTAGACATCCATGCTCAGGTGGACCAGCTCTGCCTCATTCCCAGAAGGGATGCCTCTCTGCCCTGCTTCCAGGTGGCGGTGAGGCATGTGCAGTTAGTAACACCCAGGGGCACAGGTTGGCAAAGGTAGGGGTACTTGCTCTAGTGCAAAGAACACAGCCCTGGTGTCAGAAGACCCTTGTTTTGATCTCAACATTGCTAACTGCTGTGTGATCATGGGGAAGACGCTCTCCCTCTCTGGGCCTCGGTTTCTTTATCATTAGAATGAGAGGTTGGTGGCTAGAACATTTCAAAACATCCCTTAGAGTGCCCTAAAGAGATCTTACAGTTGCAATTCATTTACCCCAGGTGAAGGCTGAAAAGGATCCTCCTTTAAAGGGAGGGTGAGTGAATGACCCTGTTTCTAAGTCGTCAGTTTGAGTAACTGATGGGGGGAGAGGGAGGCGGTGAGAAGGGAGTGACTTCTGCCTAGGCCCAACATGAAGCAAACCCCTGGGAGGGGAACACACTGGAGCCTGGCCTTCGTCATCCTATAACCCCCCAGGGAATGCCCAGACGGACCCATCTTGCAGTTATTCTTGAAAAGCCTCAGCTGTCCTGCAGGGACCACCCCCTTTCCCAGCTCCCCAACATGCAGGCCCCATGGGGACACTGGCAGAGCAATCCCGTGTGCCTCCCTGTCTTGCAGGCATATTCTGTCCAACCTTGGGAAGGACTCCTATCGCATGGTGAGAGCATGTCTGGGTGTGAAAGCCAGCTCTGTGACCCTGGGGAAGCTGCTTAATCTCTCTGTGCAATAATTTTCTATCTGCAAAACGGGGATGGTACTAATGCCTGCCTCAAGGATTGTTGTAAAGATTAAGTGATCTAACCCAAATGTGCACAACAAATGCTAGCTACTGTTAGTCTTAGTAATACGGAGGATGAATGACAATTATTAATAACCACAGTGATGAATTTTTACATACTCGCGGAACCCTCCCTACAAACTGGGACTAGGGAGACTTCCTTGAAGTGCAGGGCTGAAGCTGAGAGAGAGTGTCTGCGATGTATCCACACAATACACAACAGGGTACTGCAGTGAGAACCTTGGCAGGTGTCACAGTGACCTCACTGTCCCACATCTGCACCCCCAGTCCCGGGGCCGAGGCTTTGCAGGCAACAAACCGTGCAGTCTGCCTGCAGCTGAGGTTCACGGGCAGCACCCAGCAGAGCACACACAAGGGAGCATTTGTGTCTCTGCCTTTCCCCCCACATCTGTCGTGATGTCAGGTCACGTGGGTTTACTGGCAAACCCCTATGTTGTATGAATATGGGTATTGTTCCCATGCATGCCTGGCCCAGACTAGGCAAGGGGACAAATGCAGCCTGTCCTGGAGTCAAGTCCTATCCTCCTGGGCCGTTCGATACTGTGGGGCCACGGGTGCACTGCATGGGTGCCGTGGGAGGGGCGGCCTCCCTCAGCTTCGGGCTCTGCCATGGGGCCACCAGTGAGCTGCAGTAGTCAGTCAGATGGCCCTGGTTTCTCCCCATCTCACTGGGGCAAGACAACGAAGGATGAGGGTCACTCCTTTGAGCTCTGCGGCAGGGGCTGAATAAATAGGGCGTATTAAGAGATCAAAAGGATTTACAAGCACATGGAATAGAGTCAGTGGGAATGAACAGACAGACATGTTTTCTCTAAGTCCAGACCCCAGTTCATAAGCCGGGACAGCCCTGGCAGAAGTCAGGAGAGTTGGATAAGCAGCAGTAGGGAGCTACACTAAAGGAAAAAGCTTTCCCATGCATAGAGAGAGAGAGAGGGAGAGAGGGGGAGAGGGAGAGGGGGAGGGGGGGAGAGAGAGAGAGAGAGAGAGAGAGAGAGAGAGAGAGAGAGAGGAACATTCTCCTCCTAATGGGCTTCTTGGTTAATTATAAACATCCATTTCTTGGGCTCAGCAGATGAAGCTTGTAGGACAAAGGGTCTTGCTTGTTTAAATCTGCTCAGCGCACTCCATCGGTGTCTTGGGCTTACCCTCTCGCGGGGAAGTAACGACACAACCCCTTTGGCTGGCTGAATCCATGGCAGGATTTCAGCACCGCCATCAAAACTGGCTGGGGGCCTGCCCTGCAAACCACACCTCCTTCCCCCCCCCCCCACCGGAAGCCACAGAACCACTGGAAGGCTTGGCGGCCTCTTACAGGGCCATGCAGGGCTTCCCTTTGGAAAGGCTCCTCCTCGCCTGCATCCTGAGCTTGTTAGCAAAGGCCGGCAATGATAAATGACAACGTGTTCCCCTTTATAAAACAAGTGAATGTTAGCTTTCTGTCTGACTCATGGAAAAAGTTATTTGTCACGGAGCCTTCTCCAGGATTACTGTATTAATTTGCTTAAGGGCTGTTTATTCTTCCTTTTTCAGGCTGACAGTGCAGGCCTAACCAGAGAGAAAAAGCTTTTGGTGCAGCAGAAGCAAATGCCCGGGTGTCCTTTTATACACGAAACTGAGCATTCTTTCCCCCTGTGTATCAGGACTCTGGGCTTCGGCGACAGAGTGACACATCAGCCTCTTGGCATCACCCCAAGCCCATCTCGCAACTTAGAACAGTTTATTGTCTCCAAAGACTCAGTCGGGGGTTCAAAGGAACCCTACGCGGCTCCCCACTGGCTCTCTCTCTCCGTCCTGCTTCCTTCCACCGATGGCCATTCACACTAACAAGCCAAGCCCGGTAGGTAGTTCTCTGTCTCAGAGAGGTGTGGGGTGTGTAAGCTCTGCCAGTTTCAGGATGGGGAGAACCAGGCACAGGGCAACAAAACAAACTGCCCGAGGCCGCTAACTGCCCTAGCTTGCAGAGGGCAAAAGCCATGTATTCTGGAAATTATCAGGTGCCTTGTCATAAACAGAGGAATGACCCTGGGGAGGGGTGGCCATCTGTGGCCTCTGGCTGGAGCCCCCAGATGTCCTCATTTAGCGGTGATGGTTCTGGAAGGACACCAAGGAGTTAAGAAGGGCTGCTGGCCCCGGACCAAGAAAATGAAGTTCCCCAACACGTTTGCGGCCTGGGATTACAGATACTGCTGACGGGCTGAATCTCCCAGGGCCTGAATTGGAGAGAAGGCCCATATAAGGCTGTCAGCTGTTCTGGATTCACTACTGACTGTTCTGAATGTTGGAAAGTTTCATTTTTAACTTGCTTCTCTGCCTGGCTATGTGTTCTTTCTTTATTTTAGAAGCTGTTGCCCCCCTGAAGAAAAGACACCCCTGGGTCCTTCAGGTTTTCTGAAGGGCCAGTTGTGTGGTCAGGCTGGCCTGGGGGCTGCCCTGCAGATGGTTAGTGCCCCAGTGCCAGGTACGGTCACCCCACGATGCTGGGAATATCGGCAGGGGTGGAGCTGACACTCTGCTGGAAGAGGGGCCATGGGCCAATACAAAGGCTGGTGTCACAGCTCAAGGGGGAAGGGGACACACAGAATGAAGCCTCCTTGGCCCTTTGCCCATGGATGACGATGACTCAGTTTCCCAGAGCACTTGGTGAATTGCAAGGCCTAGCCAAACCCGGGCGGTCACTCGTCTGACTGATGTTCTAGTGTCACCTGAATTACCCTCCTTTGCTTGGGCTTCTGCAAGCAGAATACAATCACCAAAGTGGAGCCCTTTCCTAGGGAAGCAAAGCGTCAACAGTCCTCTGTTAGATCCGAGGGGATGATGGCCACTGGCCTCCAACTAGAAATCCCTGAGTGTCTTTGGGACTGTGCCTTCAAGTCACCTTCCTGGTCACTTCAGGTAGGAACACTGGCCTCCTGCATCTTGTGAGATTCCCAGAGGCAGGCTGTGCCTCCTCCACCCGTGTGCTCATCACTCTTCTGCCACCCTGTGCACCTTCTCCACCCCATCTGTCATCGGCTGGCTAGGGCCACCAGCGTTGGTGACCTCTCTCTCCCAACTACAGTTTGGGTGAGGTCAAAGGCCAAGGTTCCCCCAACAGGGAACATCTAGTCGGTGGAGATCACTTCTATTCCCACATGGGGCATCCTCCCCACAATCTAGCATGGGTAATACAAGAAGCAGCTTTTGGGGGCACCTGGGTGGCTCAGTCAGTTAAGCCTCTGATATCAGGTCAGGTTCATGAGTTTGAGCCCTGCGCTGGGCTCTGTGCTGACAGCTCAGAGCCTGGAGGCTGTTTCGGATTCTGTGTCTCCCTCTCTCTCTGCTCTTCCCCTGCTCATATTCTGTCTCTCAAAAATAAATAAACGTTAAAAAAAAAAA